GAAAAATAAAGCTAAATTAGCACAGTAAAAGAAAAAAACAAAAGCTACAGTAATCAAAATAGTGTGGTACTGGCAGGAAGACTGAAAATTTAAAACAGCAGAATAAAACAAAAAGCCCAGAAGTAGTTGACAGTAGTGCCAAGACCACTCAATAGGTGATAGGATAGTCTTTTCAACAAATGTTGTTGGGAAAACTGTTTATATGTGTATGTATATGCGAGAGAATGAAGTTGGGCCTTTCCAAACACCATATATAGAATTAATCCAAAATATATTAAAACCTCAATCAAAAACCTAAAACTAAAAACCTCTTAGAAGTAAAGTCTAAAACTTTATGATTTAGCAATAATTTCTAGGATGAGGTATGAAAGGCACAGACAAAACAAGAACAAATAGCCAACTCTGACTTAGTGAAAAATTTTGAAATTTGCATCCAAAGGTACTATCAACTGAGTAAACATATAATACTTAAAATGGAATATAATATCTGGAAACCATATATATGATAAGGGATTAATATTCAGAATAGAGAACTCCTAAAACTCAACAATAAACAACCCAATTCAAAAATGAGCAAAGGAAACAAATAGCTATTTCCCCCAGAAGATATATGAGAGGCCAATAAGCATATGAAAAGATGCTCAATGACGCTAATCATTAGGGCAATGCAAATAAAAGGTCCCAAGTTCGATCCCCGGTACCAAAAAAAAAATCTTCAATGAGATACTATCTTACAATTACAGCCATCAGATGGCTACCATAAAAAGCAAGAAAATTTGTGAGTGTTTTCACCATAAAAATGAATATGTAAGGTAATGTAAATGTTAATTAACTTGACATATTCTACAGTGTGTATATGTGTCAAAACATCACACTGTACATGATGAATATATGCAATTTTATTTCTCAAGCAAGTACAAAAATAATAAGTGTTGACAAGGATGTAGAGAAATGAAAACAGTTGTGTGCTGTTTTGGGAAATGTGCAATGGTGCAGCTGCTATAGAAAACAATATGGTAGTTTCTCAAATTATTGAAGGTAGAATTATCACATGATCCAGTCATTCCAACTTGAGTATATTATCAACAGAATTGAAAACAGGATCTCAGAGAGAAACGTATGCATCCATGTTTATAGCAACATTATTCACAATAGCTAAAACATGAAAGCAACCCAAGTGTCCATCAAAATAAGGTATATACATAGAATAGAATATCATTCAACCTAAAAATAGAAGGATATTCTGGCAAGTATTACAACACAGATGAACCTTAAAAACACTGCACTAAGTGAAATAAGCTAGTCATGAAAAGACCAATACTGAATGAGTCCCCTTATATGAGTACCTAAAATAGTTAAATTCAGAGAGAAAGTAGAAGGGTGGTCTCTAGGTGCAGGAGAGAGGAGGAAACAGGCAGTGATGGTTTAATGAATACTGAGTTTCAGTTTTACAAGATGAAAAACATTCTGAAGGGCCGGGGATTTAGCTCAGTGGTTTCGCTGCCTGCTGCACAAGCACAAGGACCTGAGTTTGATCCCCGGTACCGAAAAAAAAGAAAAACATTCTGAAGATGACACATCCCCACTGACTTCATTTTCCTCCTCTACGTTCTACCTCCTAAAGGTTCTACCACCTCCCAGTAGCACTAGGGCTAGAGGCCATGTTTTTAGCACATGTGCCTTTGAGAGACATTTAAAATATGAATGATACCAGTCTTCAATTTAATAACAGCTTTTATACTTTTAAATAGTTGTAAATATAAAATCATATTTTCTGTGATGTGAAATTTGTTATATTATCATTGTCCATAAGTAAAGCTTTATTAAAATACAGATATTGTTCCTCATTTGTTTTCATATTACATCCAATAGTGATAGTTGAACAGTTGTCACCAGGACATGGTACTTTATTACTTTGCACTGCTGTAGGAACACTGCAAATCACAACACTGTTTTTCACGACAGTACTTAGAGTACCAAATGATCACCAAACCACGACATTTTATAGTTTTTTATGACCAGTGCAGACCTACCATGTCAAGACAACAACAACAAAAAATGAAAAGTGGGCTTTAAATGTTACACTTTAAAGACCTAATGGAGTGTGAATTTTCTGTCATCAACTAGATGACAAGGAATTGTGTTTATCATTAAATGACATTATGGGGCCGGGATTTAGCTCAGTGGTTCTGCCACCTGCCTTGCAAGCGCAAGGTCCCGAGTTCGATCCTTGGTACAAAAAAAAAGACATTATGGATATGCTTTAAAAAAGTACAGTAAAGTAAGAGTCAGAAAAACTAGGAAGTTTCAGAAGGAATACCTTATCACAGTAGATTTTTTTCTCAAAAATAAAAATGAGCCTATAAAGTAAATTTCTAGATGGCTCACTTGTTGGGCAAGCAAAGAAAGTCATTTATTCATGGTGTCTTAATCACATTGGATTATAGAAGCTAAAGAAAATAAAGTAGTTTAAGACTATAGGTTGGAATAAGTTCAAGACTATAGGTTTGGAATACTTGGAACCAAAAATGTTTAAGATTTCTGACTGGAGGGAATATTTATAATGAGATATCTTGGAGATAGAACCTAAGTCTTAATATAAAATTCATTTATGTTACATACACATCTTATACAAATAGGCTGAAATAATGTTATATAATATTTTAAAATAATTTTGGGCATGGAATAAATGTTCATGATGTGAAATTTTCCTCATGTAACATCATGTCAGCACTCAAAAAGTTTCAGATTTTGGAGCATTTAGATTTTTGGTCTTGGAGTATGGATGTTCAATCTGTACTAGTGAAGAATTGAGAACATTGAGAACAATATCAATAGCCAATTTTAAAACAAAGCAAGTAATTTAGAGTGATTTTCTTTGGCTTTTGATGAGTCCACATATATTTCCAATAGTGTTCAGTTTATTCAAAGAATCCTCTTGGTAAACCAAATATAATTCAGAATATTTTCAAAGAATACTAATTCATTTCAAACTTGACTGGTATGTGTTATGACTGATATTGATAAAACTGTATGAGGAGAAAAAAATCTTGGTTGGAAAATTTACGTTTTTGAAAATGTGTGGTGTTCAAATATCTCATTTTATTCATCATATTATCCATCAGTAGAAATGGACAGTCAAAGTACTTGATTCTATCATGTGTTATTAAACCATCAGTATTAACAGTAAACTTCATTTGCTCTCATGAACTTAATAAATTTAGTCTCATGAATTTTTGTCCTAAATAGAAGCAAATATCCTTATTTTCTCCTTTAATGGCTTAGTAGTGGCAAATTTTATTGAGATTAAAAAAAACATACACACAAGATTTAAATTTTTCTTCTGAATGATGCATTTCCTCAACCAGTATTACTGAGTTTCAAATTGCTTTGGAAATTAGTTTTGCTGCAGACTTGACAATGTGTCTTAGTGAACTGAACCTAAAACTACAAGGCAAAATAGAGTCTATATGCAAAACATATTGCAATAAATTTATTTTGATGGCAACCAATGTTGTTGAAATTACAAGCCATATAAACTTCTTTATTCACTTCCTGTGCCATAAAAAATTAAATGAGAAGCAAGACTTCCACTCCATACAAGTTTGCAGAGAATGTATTTTCTGAGTTCAGCCTACAATTCTAGCAGTATTTTTTGGACTTCAATTTAAGTCTAAAAGACATTCTCCTATTTTAAAATCCATTTTCTGTGCAGTTGAGGCACTTCCACTTAATCTTTGATTGGAAAGGATTAATCTACAGTGTAATCATATTCCAAAAGGCAAATATCTAGTAAAGAACATAGGAGATTTCTATAGATACATTCAAATGATGAATATTTTCAATTAAAACCACATGCTCATTATTGCTGTCAGGATTCAAATGTACCTTATTTTTGTGAAAAAGAATTTTTCTCACTGGTAGGTACTATGAAACATCACAATTTGCCTCAGCCCATGAATCCTAAAATATTTGCTATCGTATCCTTTACTGAAAAAAGAAAAGCTGCCCACCCAGCAGGCTGTAGTGTCTGAAAGTTGCAGGGAAACCTTACTAAAAGTGGCACTGAGGAGTTGCTTGCCAGAGAAAGTTTGGCTAAATATGAAGTCTAATTATTCTTTTTTTTTTTTGGTACCAGGAATCGAACTCGGGACCTTGCACTTGCGAGGCAGGCGCTGGAACCACAGAGCTAAATCCCTGGTCCTCTAATTATTCTTATTTGGCAAGCAAAGCCATGTCTGCAGTCACACTACTATAATCAAAAATAGAAATGATGACGTATAGAGAGTATATAATATGCAGAACTGACTTTAACAAATGTCTAGTTTTTACCTCTTCAAATGAGGTTGTTCTTGGACTTAATGTACAACGAATTACCTGGAAAGCTTGTTTCACACAGCTTCTCCAACCTTTCTCAGCAATTTTAGAATGAGGCCTAGAAATGTTCATTTTCCACAAACATCTCATTAGGTTCTGGTACTGAAAACACATGGCCATTTTTTTTCTTGGAGAAACATACCTTAAATGTGCCTTATTTTCTTGCCCTAATTTTGTCTTTCACTTTAGTTTTTAGAGGACTTACCTCAAAGTTCCAAGGCTTATTTTCTTACTACAAGGACTCTCTACTGTAAGTGAAATAGGAAGAAGCCAGCCCATTCTACCACCTTGTATTTTATTAATTATTATAAATACTAAACTTCACTTTTTGGAGAACATTTTTTTGGGGGTACCAGGGATCGAACTCAGGACATTGTGCTTGCGAGGCAGGCATGGTGCCACTGAGCTAAACCCCTGGCCCCTAAGAAAGTTTTACAATATAGCAATATGTTGGGGGCCATTTTATTCATGACTAACTGAAAATAAGCTTACTACCTTCAGGTTTAAAGATTCAAGTGGTAAGTAAGCTAACTTTCAGTTTAAAAATATAATATGACCATGATTCTATTCATCAGATTAGTTTTTAAAGTCTTAAAGAATATAAACAATCTCCGCGGTCTTACATTTTAGTGATTTTCTGAAATCACTGATGATTCACACATACATAAGAAAGCCCTTGCTTCATTGCCTGCAAAACAAACAAATGCCATCACTTTAGATAAAAATCAGGACCAGCTCATGCTTAAGGGTTAATATAGAATGTCTACTATTGAATAGGTGTCTCAATGTAAGGTACCACAAACCCGATCTCTAAGTAAGATGTTAAATAAGTAAGCCACCTAAAATTAAGGCCACTTCCTTAACTAACCTTGCTAAGAAATCAGAGCATTAGTCTGTGACTCCTAATGAATATGTTTATACAAATCCCCCTTCATCACCAGTCCCTAAAACCTGCAATCTAACCATAGATTAAAAACAAAAGCTTTTTCTAGGAAGGAAAAGCTTTCTACCTCTGGAAAACTGCAGGATGAAGGCTGACCTGGCAGCAAAGCACTGCAGGTCATTGAATTCTAATCCTAGTCCAGGTTGTAATGTTGGTATGACCAGAGATGTGAGCTCTTTGCCCGTTCTCCTCACCACGAACCTGGAATATACAGGACCCCTTACCTTGCAATGGATCATGAATGTAGTAAATGAAATGACAGCAGCATTTTCTTAGGACAAGACATAAAAGAATTACCTCACTGTGGTATTTCCCCACACACCCTTCGACAGACACCCTTCAATGGCTCTGCCATTTTGCTTATTAACTGCTTGTTTATTCTCAATTCCAGTGCCTTCTCTACAGATTTGCTTCAGGTTCCCTGGCCTTGCATGTCTTCAGTTTCTGCTTGGTGAACCCCTAACCAAGCTTATGGACAAATATTCCTTCTGACTCCCAAGCCACTCTCCTCTCTTAGGGACCCCACCTGGATCCTGCAATGTCCTCTCCATACAGAGCTTACCACCTTGGCTCTGCCTATGCTGCCTTGGGACAAGCTTGCCAGCCAGCCAGCTATCAGTGAAGTGGCTCTTGCATGGGATGGAAAATATATCTTTCTCTAACTCCCAGCCATTCCTCCCATGCTGCCCTGCACACAATGTAATAATGTCCCTTATGTGTCATACCTATGTCACTACCCTCTTCAGGAACTGTTGAACCTATTATTCTTCAATGGTTTGGTCTGTAAATTTGGGTTAAGGAAAGATGAAGTGAGAGGAGAAGAAATGGAACTTTAGGAAACATTAATCCTCCCACATTCTTATTTTTATCTTTAAGTATCCTGTTGCATAGATTTCTACATATTAGTTCACTCCACAGGATTTTCCCAGCCAGATTCCCTCTTTTACTAATCAATAAACAGTTCAAAGCACCAATAAACATTTCACAAATACAAATATCCTTAATAGAAAATACTATTTTAGTTTAGTATTTGGCCTTATAACAATACAATCTATATTTGGGATAGCATTTGTGACTTTTTTATGTATTATACATCACGCTAATGTGGCATTATAGAAAAGGGATTCATCCCATATTACATATGTTTTCTGGATAGTTTACTTGCTGGCCTTTTCTAACTACTTCTGGTTTATACCACACTGGGAAACTGGATAATCATCAGAAACATGCCTGTGCCCTGCTGGTGGGAATGTTAAGAAGTGCAGCCACTATGAAAAACAGTCTAGAAGTTCCTCAAAAAATTAAAAATAGGACTATCATAGAATTCAGCAATCCCACTTTTGGATATTTAATCACAAGGACTAAAAGTAGGTCATGAGGAGGTATTTGTACATCCATTTTCATAGCAAAATTATTCATGGCAACCAAAAGTTGGACACAACTTAGTGACTGTTAGACCCAGTGAGAAAGAACCAACCAGTGACCGATATTAAATCCACACAGGAGTTTATTACCGGCCGGGACCCAAGCTGAGCATCAGACTCGAGCCCCGACTTGGGGGAGACAAACATATTTTATACACCTTTGAGGTCAACAGTTTCTAGGACCCCCTGTGGGATAGAGCTAGCAAAGCAAGCAAAAGGTACAGAAGCAGTATGTCCTGCTGTTAGAACATTTGCAAAACAACAGTTGATTGTTATTTCTAAAGGGACCTTTTAAGGGGAGGAGGTTTCTAAGCTTCCTCCTTCTGAGTTCATCTAAAGGACAGGCAGGTGGGTCAAGCATCAATATGGAGTCTGTCTTGCTAACTAGAGTCCTTCAGTGACCATCAACAGATGAGTGGAGAAACAAAAAGTGGTGTATAAATGTAATGAAATATCCAGCCTTAGAAGGAAGGAAACTCATAATATTACAATATGGATAAACCTTGAAGACATGCTAAGTGAAATAAGCCAATCACAAAAAGATACATACTGTGTGATTCTACTTATCTGAGGTGCATAGGGTAGTCAAATTCATAGAGACAGAAAGTAGAAAAGTGGTTTCCAGGAATTGGGAGGAGTCAAAAATGGGAAGTTGTAAATGGGTACAGAGTTTCAGCCTGATTAACTGAAAAAATTTCTGAAGATTTGCTGCATAACAATACGAATGCATTTTACACTACTGAACTACACAGTTAAAAAATGGTTACCATGGTAAATTTTATGTCACTTAAATCTCATCACAATTAAAAATAAATTTTGAAATAAAAGTTAGAAGCATGCATTAATTCATTAAAAAATATTTCCACTTTGCTTACTATGTATCAGACCCCATTCTTGGTAGCAGAGATAAGGTGCTGAAAGAAACAAAGTTTTGGTCTTTATCGAGCTTATATTCTAGTACTGTATATAATAGCAAAAATACCTCTATGGTCTACCTAATAAATTGCATAATTTAAAAAATACTAGTTTTCACAAAATCAATCTTTTATCCAGATGACATGCAATCTTTCTTACTCTATTTTGTGTAGTTGTAACAAAATACTTAAACTTAGGTGATCTATAAAGAAAATAAGCTCATTTTTCTCACGGTCCTAGAGGCCCTAGTTCATGGTGCTGCCACCTTCTTGGCTTCTGGTGAAGGTATCGGGGTGATGGCGTCACATAGTGGGAGCATGCGCAGAAGAGAAAGTAGAGGGGTAAACTTGCTTTGTATCAACCCGTGGTAACTGATGCAGTCCTTCAAGACCCAGAGTGCTCACTCCTACAAGACCTAATCTGGTCTAGAGGTGCCTAACCTGGTCTCTGGAGAAATATATTAATCCATTCATGAGTGTGGAGCCTTCCATGAACTATCTCTTACAGATCCCACCTCCTCTGTGCCATGTGTAGTGGCACACATCTCTAATCCCAGCTACTTGAAGAACTGAGGCAGAAAAATCCCAAGTTTGAGAGCAGCCTGGACTACTTAGTGAGATACATCTCAATATAAAATTAAAAAATAAAAAAGGCTGGGGATGTATCATTGTGCTAGAGCCCTCCAGGTTCAATCCTCAGGGCAGCATAAAAAAAAGATCTCACTATCCCTCAAAACTGGGAACCAGGTTTCAACGTGATCTTTAATAGGGATAAACCGTATCCAAACCTTAGGACTGATCCATTTTAATGAATAATATGAAATATAAATATCTTAATTCTAAAGTAGTTTAAAATTTTAGAATCAATGGCCAGGCCATATATAAAAATAGAATTTTGAAGGTAGATATTGTGGAACATGCCTGTAATCCCAAAACTCTTAAGGTCTGAGGGGAAGATCACAAGTTTGAGTCCAGCCTGAGCAACTGAAAACTTTTCTCAAAATAAAATGAAGTAAAATAAAATAAAATAAAAGCACTGAGAATGTAGCTGGGTGCCATCGATCCTCAGGACTAAAAAAAAAAAAGAACTTTGATCCTCAACTTGCAGCCAACTCCTCAGGAAGCCAACTCCCTATCTACAATATATATAACCTAGGAAGCCAGCCCACTATAAATCATGCATGCAGGAAACCAGATTGCTGTCTCTAGTGACAATCAGGAAGCTTAAATATAACTTCTCTAACATTTAGGACTTGAATAATAACTGAAAGTTTCCCTAATGTCTGCCCTTCCTTTTTTAGGACCAATCTGGAAAAAGTCAAACATGTTCTCCTGATCCATTTCCCAGGATTCCCTACTCCTAAATAGCCTGCTGACAACTTCCTCAGGCCAACAGTCTCCATCAGAGTATATCTGAAGCTTTCCCTTTTTTCCATTATAAAGTTACCTACCTACTTTACAGGCCAAGGGTGGCTGACTCCATTGCTATAGAAACTCAAGATAAACAGCCTTGGCTTTTCTGATTGGAATGGTTTTCATTTACTGTTACTCAAAAAATAGATAATACGTACTAAAATGCATAAATATATCAAGAACTGTTACAAAACTAGGTTACTACAATGATCATTCCCTGAGAGATCACTCTCTTTGTCGATTACCACCTCTGCCCACTCCTGCCTCTCAGACAGGGTTGCCCTGTCATTAGCCAGTTCCCCAGCAGATCCATAATCACCAGGTACTGAGAGCACTGTGATTATTACAAAGACATAATCTTTAACAATAGAGAATCATCTGAGAAATTCTTTTAAAACAATTATTTTGCCATGTAGGCTCCTCGTTAAATGATCTTCAACTACAGTTACTTTAGGGGTTGAGGAATATCATCCCTTTTATTAGTTCTGATGTTTATAGAGGACTGGAGTGGCCCCAAAAGCTGAAACTCAAATAATGGGGCCATGCATATATTCTAATAAAAATATATGATTAGAGCTTAGGAATGACTTCCATTTGCATGGATGTGTATAACTGCTGACCACCCATCAGGCATAAGAAAGTACTTGATAAAGCTGAGTGGACTGTGATGCTGAATAATTGTTCAGCATTGTTTAGAATAGTATTTAAAAAATACATAAGATGGATTTCTCCCTGTATTTCCAAGTCCATGACATTTTCCTATTTTATTTGGTCGCATCCTTTTACCCTAGGAAAGATTATACTTCTACTTATTTTTATTTGTATATGGTATTAGGGATTGAACCAGGATTTTCCATCTGAGCTACAGCCCAGTCAGTAAAAGCTACCACTCTACAACTGTCAACAATAAAAAGAGATCTTCAACAATAATATAGATACAAAACCAAGGCAAATATTGACCTATAGTAAATATCTACTAAATACAACCATACCACCACTAACAATAGAAATGCATTTAATGATAATAGCATATAGTCAAATAAATATCTAAAAATTATTAAAACTTGAAAGTAGGAGTAATAAAAATGGAGGTTGTGGAGAAGGGAAAAACGAAAGAAATAAAATTTGAAAAATAAAGAAAGGAAGATAAAAAGGAAATAAATGAGATAAGGGATCTGACTGAAGAGTGATGAAACTTAGTAGAATAAAAAATCAAACACAATAAAGAATAAAACAAAGAGCAAAAGAAAGGAAGAAAGAAAAAGAGGGAAAAACCCCCTAAAACTCCAAAACCAACAAAACAGAAGAGAAATAAGTCCAAACAAATCCCTCCGTGCTCTTGAATCAGTGATTTGTTTGAGTCTGCACTTTTGGAGTCTAACAGACATGGAGGACAGATAGAGAGTCCCCATGAGTCCTACTTTCTCTCTACACCGACTTTTTTGTGGTGAACACTGAGTCTTGCCCTGCCTCTCCTCCTGGGGTTAGCATTCCAGCTTGCTTCCTTCTTTTTCCTTGCATTGTCTTCAGATTCTCCAGTTTCTCTGTAATTCCTAGTTTTCTGTTTTTCCTGTTCTCTTTCTGGGTTCCTGCAGTTTTCCTTTCTTTTCCCTTTGCTAAATTGTTCCGGAGAGACTGTAATATGCTGCCACACTCTCTACTGCCATCTCTCTCAGAAATTTCACATTAAACCAGGTGATAAGTGAGCCCCTTGATAGAGATGAGAATATAGGAAAAGCCCTTCACTTCCAGGACTGGGAAGGGGAGAAAGTGGCACGACCACCATCCTTATATTTCCTTTTCAGTCAAAGAACTATCAGTGAGGGGACATCTCACGAGGGGAGAGGAGAGAGAAGTCAGGGTGACATCTGATAGGTCAAGAGAGGATCTTGAAGACTTACATTGTTTTTTCATAGATT